CTTTCTGCTTCCAGCTTTCCTCCTTAGAGACGACTGGCCACTGAGAGGCTGCTGACCTTTACAACACCGTCGATCGCATTCCTGCCTGCCAGCGTGCCTGTCATTTTGTTGTGACGCTGGAAGCAGGGTCACTGTGTTTCCAACATCAGCCGGGTCACCCAAGGTGATCAGGTTTCCACAGAGCGTCTAGACTAAGAACAGATTACGGAGAGGGGATGGGCTGTCCACGTTGGAGGGATTATCCACTGGAAACATTCGGAGGGCAGCAGAACAAGGTCCGAGAGAGGGCGGGAAGAGGCTCAACATCTGACACGGTGGGAGAACCATGGGGTCAAAGGTTAGAGCGATTGTGAGGACGCGGCCGGGCCAGGCAGTGCTGCATTCCCTTGGACGTTCTCTTCGTTGCTGTGAGTTGGAACTGAGTCGAACGCCAGCAACAAGCTGCCCCACTAGAATGGCCACGGACGCACGCACTTTCCATGCACCGGCTGACTGTGCCCTCATAGCTAAGTGGGCTCAGCCCCGAATACCCGGGTCAGAGGAATCAAGGACCTACAACCAGGAGTCAGGGTTGGGCTGCTCATCGGGAGACCAGCAGTTCTAACCCACCAGCCACTCCGCAGGAGAAAGAAGAGGCTGTCTGCTCCCATAAAGATGGGCAGAGTCGAGATGGTCTCGCTGGCAGACGGCAGTAGGAAGTAGTAAAGCCAGGGGCACAAGGAGAAGCGGCACAGTAGCGGGTCGGTGGGTGCGATTCCAGGGACTCTAGCACCCACCATGGACAGGTCAGCCAGGGTTGGCCCAGCCACCTGCTGTCCATCATTTTCCTTTTCGGACTTTTCTCTCCAAAGCAATGAGTACTTACGATGAAGCGCATAATACCACGGACAAGCTCACCCCCAAATCTCTGCTCTCAGAAAACAAACAACAAAACTCCCTGCCGTTGAGGGACTTCTGACTCACAACGGCCCCATAAAATCGAGCAGAACTGCCCTGGGGAATTCCCC